TCCCCAATTTATAGATGAGAAAATTGAGATAAAGAGGGGTTATGTAACCTGCTGAAGTTACATAGCTGATAAATGACAGAGTCAGATTTCATAGTTCTGGCTCCAGTATTTTAAGCAATATCTGATAATGGAGATGGATGAGAATAAATAGATTTTTTTGAAAAAAGGTATAGATGTCCTTTCTCTTCACTTAAGTTTCTGAATAAACTGGGATTACACTTCAGCTATCTCCCATCAAGGCAAGATGTCTGGACTTCTGTGTCTCACTTCAATCAGTCATTGAATGTGGGCTGCTGTCTGGGAGGAGATGTGAGCTGGAGATGAGGTAGCCCCTTCTGAGAAAGAGTCAGCTGTGAACTTGTACTCCCTGCACCTGGAGGAATGAACATCATGGCCCTGAAGGGACAGGGAGAGTGGGTTGTGGGGAGAACTGGGAGGTGCACCACAGTATTTACTATAGAAACAATTAAGAATAAATAAGTACTATATTTACAAAATATTAGTTGTTCTAGATGGTTTCACTGAGCTTCTGACTTATATGGCCCACTATTTTCTAATTGCTCCTGAAACTTGAGTATATGTCGTAAGGAGACTGAGAAGATACAAGACTTCAGAAGTAAGCTGAGCCCACATGAAAGCTTAAATAATACGACAAAGCGTTTGGGTGAGAGGGGAGTCTGGTGGCAGCATGAAGATAGGTTAGTACAGGGACAGACCACCGTTGTAACAGCCCATTGCTATGAGGACCAGAGTCTGAACCAGTATCACGGGGCTGGAGAAGAAGGGCTGAACTTGCAAGACATTTTAAAGTAATTTTCAGTGATTTTAATGACTGAATGTGAAGATGAGGAAAGAGGTTAGGCAAACTCCTATAGATGTAACTAGAGAGACTGTGTGAAAGTTGATGTTCGAAGGGAGATTGTGGTAATGTTCACTCTATAGGGATCAGCATGACCTCTTGGCTATCTTTTTAACTGACAAAACAAAAATAATTCTCCAACTGGCTGTTACTTTCTTTAAGTTTTCTTTCTTCTGAAGAAACTTTCAATTACTTCTTCCTATCCCTTAAAATGAGTTGTTCTTCCCATCTATAATTGATTTCTTAATTCATCTATTTTTTAAAAAATGTATGACCTCCTTTACCCAATTTACCTTCCTTCCCACCCCTCTTTTCCTATGGTAACTGCCATTCTGTTGTCTTTGTCTATAAGTTTGTTTTTATTTGTTTTGTTAGTTCTCCTGTTACTTCTTTGTTTTATATTCCACATGAGTGAAATCATAAGGTTTTCGTATGTTCCCATCTGACTTATTTCACTTAGCATAATGTGCGGATATATAGTATAGATCCATCCATTTGTTGAAAATGGCAATAGTTCATCTTTTTTTTTAGAGCTGAGTAGCATTCTATGGTACATATGTACCACATCTTCTTTATCCAAATATTTGTTAATGAATCACTAATCTATTTTAATGAAAATTTCTTCCATCATGCCTTCTCCTTCTCCCCAACTACAAATCTAAGTGTATCTGAACAAAACATACTCTTAAATAAAACAAAACAAAGCCTTAAAGCACAGATAGAAAATCCATTTTAAAAATTTCTTCATTTTTTGGCAGTTTGGTCATGACCCATATTAGAAGTTCTGATAAAATCCTTGGACTGTAGATACAATGAGAGGTGACATGAAGATTTCTGGAGATGATGTTACCTTGTGAGTAGCAGGTTGCTTTCAGTTATGTAGATGTAGAAGATCATTTGTTAAGGCTGAGTCTGAACAAGTGTATTAAATCCCTTGATATATCCAGTTTGTATAATTGTCATGCCGCTTTGGTCATTGTACCTTGCCCTTTTTATTTTCTGGAGCACAAGTAATTTTCTGACCTGATATACGCAAGATTAGAATCTAGCTTCCTGCAGGCTGCATTTTTGCTAGGTTATCAAAAAATTTTTTAACAGTGCAGATATTTATTTTTAAAAGGAAAGAAGTTGTAATCACGTGAAATCGCATCAGTGTAGAAGATGTTATGTTGTATGCACTTAGGGCAGCCAGGTCACATCAGTCATTTACTTAGCATTTATTGTGTAGCTTCTCTGCACTAGGCACTGTTTTAGGTGTGACAAGAATGCACAGGTGGATGAGACAGGTGAGGTCTCATCTCTCACAGAATGTACCTTCTAATCATCAGAAACAGAAAATGAAAAATAATTCATAAGAAAGATTCCAGTCTTTGTAAATGCTCAGCAGAAAATAAAAGTTGGAATTCATTTTGTTTATCCAGCCATTTTCTCCCATTTCAAGAGGCTGGCCTGGTGAGAAAATGGTTCTCTTAGAGACAAAGGAGCTGGATAATGTGAACCCAAACTCACTGCCGGAATTGGTACATTTATAGTCTGAGGATTTATTGGGGTGGAGGAATGGGATTTTATTTTTTACTTTTTAATTTTTATTTTTTAAATGCTAGTTTATTTCTTCTTATTACTTTTCATACTATATATACATAATTTTTTTAAACATTTTTAAAAAATTTCCTCCCTCCCTCCTCCCCCCTGGGATTTTAAATTTTTGAGTATAAATATGATAGTTATCATTTAAACTCCTACCCAGGACTGCTATCAGACATTGTCCATAGAGACACAGCTTAATATTAACAATTAACAAATAAAAACTATCATGGGTGCTGTTTTAACCAATTTCCACTTTTGTGACTTGTAGGAGGAACCAGCACTCTCTGTTCCCTCTGTGAGCACAAGAATGTGCTCAGAACACTGAGCAAGTTGGCCATTCTGCCCATACCTGACCCCAGGTCTGACCCCAGGAGTTGAGTTTCACTTTCTGAGAGTCGAAATGGTTGGTTCTCTAACATATGTGTGCTGGTTTTACTTGTTACTAAAATTATGCGATTTCCCTTACAGTTACAATTAACTAAGGAAATATGAGTCTGGAGAGAGAGAGAGAGAGAGAGACAGAGAGAGACAGAGACAGAGAGAGAGAAAGACAGAGAGAGACAGAGAGAAGAGAGAGAGAGAATTATTACAGTGAAATTAAAATGGATTGCTTTGCAAAAATTCAATAATGTCAAGTTAATGAGAAAAGATTGGAAAAAATAATAAAATCTACAGTATTTTCTTCATGAGTGTCTTTAATTCTCACCCTGCACAAAGAAGGAAAATTCTGTAATGAAAAATGAGGTTTTTATGGGGGTGGTTTAGGTAAAAAAATGTAGCTTTGAATCATTTCCAGTGAACTCATAGTAAGGGAGGGGAAGGGTCATGACCTTCTACTAGATTGGCAAATACATTTACATTTATTTAAGTTTAAATATAATGTTTACAATATAAATGTATTTTTCCCCTAGCATTTTTGATTAGACTATTAAATTAGCAACTCTGATTGTGTCGAGTAAGAAGGTGTTCATTGTATTATAAGGTGCGCGTTAAGTACAAAGGGATTCACAATTCCTCCGTCCTAACATTATTAGATAAAAAATTTATGTACCTTCCAATAATTTCTTTACCTGAGCCAAATCTCCTTTCCCTCATTGCATAGTAGAAGCAAGGAAAATATTTTCACTTTTTAGCAGTATCTTTCCTTTGAAAATATCAAAATTCTTTAAGGAAAAATTTCTAATTAAGCAATAATGCTCATATTGCCCTAGAGAGGTGGATAAAGATATTCATTATCCTCTCACTGAGGATGTTAGACCCATGCTAAGTAGCTAACAGATGTCTCCGTGCTGTCTCTCAGGAGAATTATGTTTTTGCTAATCTTCCTGCCACACTGTGTTCTGTTCTCTATTCTTAATAATTCTCAGTATTACGGAGAACTATGAGAGAATGGAAACAGCACTTATCTGTGGGCCAGGACACATGGGTTCAGACCCTGGCTATGCCACTAACTCATGGGATTTGGACATTCTAGTCAGCCTTTCTGTGCCTCATCTCCTTTATCTATGATATAAAGATGGCAGCACTTGTCATACCAGCCAACCAGACTGGGAAAAAAGAAGTGTTTGTCAAAACAAGTATGGACGTTGAAGGTGCAAATAGTGAGATCAAAAGCAGCCCATGTATTTCATTTTATTTACCTTATTCCCATTTCAAAACGTGGGCCCACTTTTTGTTTTGGAATTTTTGATCATGTGTTAATTTATAGCTTCTGGCTTGTATATTCATTCTTGAGACCAGAAGTGGAAGTCCTTCCTCAAATGCTTGTATCCCAATCTTGCCCACCTCCTCACCTTCACCATGTTCCAATATGGGCCCAGACTCAGTTAGCAATATAAGGAAAGAGACAGACTATGGTCAAGATATGATTTATTGTACTCTGAATTACAAGGTACCAGTTAGTAAGTGGCTGCCGTCTTTTGAAAGTGTTGAGTGACTCATTGTATTTATTCACAGGAATATTGCTGATAAAGGCCCAAAAGAAAAAAAAAAACATATGAAATATGCTAAATTTCCAATAATAGAGTTTGCTCAAGTAAACAATGATATTCCTATACAATGGAAGGCCATTAATAAGAAGATGTAGATGAATATTTATTGGCATAGAGTGATGGTCATTATAATAAAGTGAAAAAACAACGAACAAAAGGGTAATGTACAACAATCCCATCATTATTTAAGAAAATATGTACTTAAATAAAAAAAACATTTGGAAGGATATACAGTAGCTGTCTCTGGGTGATGGGATTACAAAAATAACTTTTCTATATACTTCTGTATACTTATCTGCATTTTCTGATTTTCTATGATGGGCATATGTTGCAAAAGATAGAACTAATTGAAATTAAATGAAATCCTATTGATGCAAAAGCTACTTGTGGGAATGAAGAACAACATTTTGGAAAAAATAAATACCAACTCTAAAAAATGAATTAAGTGTGGAAAATTTTTTAAAAAATAAATTGAGTTAATTTTATTCTTTTTAATTTATTATTTATTTATTATTTTTAAAACAAGCTCTGCCCAGTTTTATTAAAGAAAAAATTTGCATGATTTACTTTTCACCATTCTGTTCTGGCATGATATTAGGATCACCTGGATCAATGATAGCCAATGTGCATACTCTGTAATATTTTCTACGCGCTGTGCCCAATTAAATATTATTGCCACTGTAGTGATGAACACCAGTGCTAGCCAACATGGTGTAATACTCTATTTCAGATTTCTTCAAGGCTGGATAGTTGTTGGCGAGGATGACCAGTTTTGTTTTGCTTTGTCTGATCATTTGCAGAGTCTGCTTGTACCTCAGTTCGTACTTTCCACTTTTCATAACAAGTTGGAGCCTAGAGTTGATGGACTCCAGGGACTTTTTCGTCTTTTTTTTGTGGCCGCCATCTTCCAGATTTGGATGCAGGACAGCCCCCAACCAAGAGCAGCGCCAAAGACGGCTGGAAGGGAGAAGGGCTCATTCTTTTTTAAAAGAATGGATCACTTAATAACAAATATTTGAAATAAACCAAGTATCAATTTGCAAACCTATTTCTTCTTGGCTGAATTCTACCTTAAATTGCTTCTAAAATAGACTCATATCATGGTAAATATTCATGATATTTAAAAATATCTAAATTAAATAATTATTAATAGTGACACTGCAATTTTTTCTTTTTGTCAAAACATCACTTTAAAACAAATAAACTTTTAAGACAAAGAGGAGGTGTATTTCTTATCATAATCAGAACTATAGGTTACCAAGTGCCTTTTATGTGCCTATGTGTTAGATGCTTGAAATGTTAAATTTATTGGTTAATTTATTTAATCATTACCACCTTAGGAGATAAATCTTACTGTGTTCATTTTATAGTCACTGAAAACTAATACCAAAAAAGTTAAACTTCTTACCCAACCAGAAGTCGCAGAACCACAGGTCTTTAAAAAAATTACTTAAATATTTATTGAATCTACTCTGTGCTAGCTATATTGTGCTAGCTTGGTGCTGGGAATATACCAGTGAATAAGGGATTGGTCCCATCCCTGGAAGAAGCTTACATTCTAATTAGATGATATGGAGCAAAAAACTATAAATGTGATGAATCTTACGAAAGGGGAAATAGGATGTGAAGGGGGAGTTAATCTGGTCTGCAATATCTGTACTGTATATAAGACACTTAAATTAAGAGATGAAGCATGAGTAGGACATAACTGGGTGAGGAGTACATGGAAGAGTATTCCAGGTAGAGGGAACAGTATATGCTAACGCACTGAGGTGACATTTTGCTACAATAATCTGGCATAAACAACTATCTATAACTCTGGCTTGAAACAATAGCATTTCTTTCTCTCACGTGGGTCTGTGAGTCAACTGCAACTTGGCTGGACTCCAGGGTTCAGGTCTGCTTCATATGTTGCTCTTTTTACCTATAGCTTCCTGGAACATGCTCCTTTCATAGCATATGGCAGCAGGGCAGGAGCCCAAATTAAATCACACAGGCACATTTAAGGCCTCGTGTCATGTTCAGGAACAATTCACCGGCTAAAGCAAGCTGTATGGCCAAGCCCAAAATAAATGGGATGGGGAAAACATTTTGCCCACAGTGGATAATACTTCAGCATCACATAATATGGGATATGGATGAGTAATTTAATATAGGAAGAATATGAAAAATTGTGAACACTGATTCAGTCAAACACACTTGGATTTTTCAAGGAATCCAGTGTGGCTAAAGTATAATGAGTGAGCTGGGGAGTGATAATACTGGCCGCTCTTATAATTGGTTGTCCTTGGGAAATTCTTATAATAGAGATTATATATGCTCACTCCAGAAGATAATGACTTATCCAACTTCTACCTGAACTTTATTTCCAAAGAGTTGACTAACATTGAAATACCATGGTTAACTTACAGGGCTAATATAGGGTCAGTTGAATTAAATATTCCTCCTCTGTTATGTAGCAATACTGTATTGGGTCTTTGTGTGACAGTAGCACATTTAGAAACTGTGCTTCAGAGGCAATAAAACCAGTGTTTGAGCCCCTGAGCAAATAGCATTAAATTTGGTTGCTACTCATTCTCCTGGAATGGAGGTCAGCTATTTTATGCACAGTGAATAAGACAAACCAGTCATAAAACGTGAGGAAACATCTAATTTGACTACTTTATCCTATGCAACACGATCTTTTATTCGGTCAGGTCACTTTGATAATGTTACAGGAATAGTTCAGTTTATTTTTACCCATCGCTGTACAGATACTTTCGTTTGCTTTCCAAGTGCTTAGGTTTAATGCCTGAATGAACAGGTGTCAGGACATGCATTGGCCAAATATAAACTCGTACAGTTCGTGTGTTTAATAAGCATGGGCATATTTTTTATAGAAAGTTTATTCTACACAGACAGCCACTGACTTCTTTATCAGCTGTAATGGTATATTATTCCACAGAAAACTGTGTTAATTTTAGTTGAGGTGATTTCCCCCATCTTTTGCCGATAAGAAGAGATTAAATTAGAAATCACTGCCTCCATGATGGTCCTGTTGTGGAGCCAATTTTTCCCCCCTCATTTGCTAAAAGCTCAACTGTATAATCTTGAGGATTTAAAACAGAATTTGATATTTTTTCTGACAATACTTATTTCCCATAAAAACAAGATTTTCGTTAGCTAGCTTACAGTTAACTTCATTATAAAGTCTGCCGTTTCAAGGGAAATAAGTAGTTCTAGTAAATGTGATGGATTTGGGGCAATTTCTTTCCTCTCATTTTGTTCACTGTTATGTAAGCCTGTTACTCGGTTACATTACTGTATTTTATTACTCGGTTTGCAAAGCTGCATTTATGAAAGACTACAGTTTTCTGGTTTCCTCTTCC